GAGGTGACTGATGGGCCCGTGGGCACCGTCGACACACTTGACCGCGATCCACCGCTGAACGCCTGAGTTTCCACGTCCTCTGGGGACATCGAGCTGGTTTTTCCAGGGACATGCTCGATATACGCGGTGGGCGGAGGGGGTGGGGGTGGAATCAAGAGTGTGTGTGACACAATCTCGTGAAGCTGCAACGTGCTCTGACCACAGGCCGTCACAGGGAGACACCGGACCGAAGCTCAGGCCAGCAAACATTATCATAAATCAATAAAGTGCACGGGCGAGCGGCACGCGCTCAGCGACCGGTGACACCAGCGTCACTGTACCGATGCTGCTTCCTCATTCCTCCAATCACGACTCTTAGCTGTGGATTAATGTTCTTTAATGACGTGAAGCAAACAGATCTTTATCAACACAGCCTCCTTCAAAGTATTGAAGATTCGATCGAACGGCTCCGGACAGAACATCCATCAATTAGATGAGACCGGGACGAATAGATCGGAGGAATATCGTCGATGCAGGTTAAAATAACACACATTAGTCCAACATGTTGGACGGACGCACAAAGTGAGTCATTAAAACAATAATCTCATGAAAAAAAACCACTAGTGTTGTTTCCGGTGCATGTACTTGTATGTTCTTTAAATATCTGCACTGTGTACTTTAATGAGTGTGTCAACTATTATTGAATTAAAAATCCCAAAAAATCCTAAAGAACTAAAAGCTTTAGAGGCTACTGCTCCATAGTGCCCCTAGTGGTCAAAACCCCAACAGAGCAGCTTTAATTTTTAAACGTATGTTAGATATCTATAAATCATAATCATTGAACTCGACCATCCTAAACCCCCCTTGGCCAGCAGCAAGAAAGATAATAATTATATTCTATCATAAAAAAACGTTTCCGGAGGAATCTCTACGGCCGTGAGACAAATGCAAGTAACCATGGTTACAGTCCTGTAGAGTTTTCATCGTGCCCCTGTAAGTTATTTCTAGGCTGCAGCAGGGAGAGAAACCTCGGACAGTCGATTATATACAGCCTTGCAACTTAGCCTTAGTTTTTTTTTCTCATATGAAGTTTCATTCAATTCAGATTTATTTCCCATTATTTTATTATCATCTCAAGGTTCTTTACATTGTAAAGAGATCTTACTGTTTCTACGATGAGCGAGTGGAGAGAGAAAACCACTTCAGCAGGAGGACACTCTTACCCTGCACCATAAACTGAGCAGTTATGTCACACAACCAAATGTAACGTGATATAAAACAAGAGATATTATTCAGAGATAGAAAGGAAAAAAAAAAAAAAACAGCTCCCACATCACAAACTGCTCAGACAAATCCTCCTCTCTTGATCTGCTACAACGATCTGATCCCGGTGCAGGTTTCTGTCGAGGTGATGAAAACCAAACGACTCTGCAGATTCCGAGGGGATCAGGAGATTAGAGGTGGACTTTCTGCTGAGGTCTGGCAGGAGACGGATCCGTCGTGGACAGTTGAGCAGAGCTATTAGCAGATCCGCTCCCTATATTCACGTCGTCTGTCGGTTTCCCCCCAAAAAACAAGATTTAAGATATGACAGAACCATTCATTGCCTGGAGACACAAGTTGCCCCTCAGCTCTTTATTCTTTATAGACATTTTCATTTTCGCTCCTGCCTCGACACCCCCACCCCCACCCCCAACTGTAAAAGCTCTCTTACACTCGTCACGTCTCTATAAACCCACTGCTACACAGAGACCATGTAAAGCTTTGGAAAGCAATTAAAGCAGCGGCTCAGAATACACAAGGGGAGAAGGAGGGGGGGGGGGGTCTCTTCCCGTCATTGTTGCGACTCGTGGATGGCAGAGCTTGAATTTATGAAATATTCATTTTAACACAGAGGGGTGGGAGGTGGGGGGGGGGGCTTATGTATAATGTATAAGTTCTGCAGGCCCGTTCTTTAAGATGCCATTTCTTCTCACAGGGGTGATGACTGAGCTGCTCCGTCCTGCCAAGGGATTCCTGGGTTGTTGTTGTTTGTAGCACAACAGGAAGATGTAGAGCGGTAACGCACTAATAAACGTAGCGCTGTAGTGGATGTAGCTAAACAGGGGGATGAAGTGAGAGACGAGGAAACTACGTCACGACGTAGCCTTCGCTTATTCGTGATCCCGTGACCTGGAATTAGCCTTGTTGAACCAGAACCAGAACAAAACCGCTGACTCCTTTGTCTAACAAATTACAAATGATTCTCTGAGAAATCAACCAAATGTTGGGTTCTTCCTCGTGTCATGTCCGACCCCTCCGCATGGGGTCGGACATGACATCAATCGCTTGAGTCGTTTTAGCGTAATCCTGCTAATAAACAAAAACAAAACATAACCTCCTCTGTGGAGGAAGTGAGCACAGGACGGAGGGAAGAGCAGGACTAAATGGAGCTGTGAAGGAGCCCCGCCTCCAGCCCCCATCCCTTCCCTCCAGCGTCTTCCCCCCCCCCTCCTCAGTGAAAGAGCGGTTATGGTGATTTAAAGAGGTAAAAGAAAAGCACGGCTCCAGAAAAAACACAATAGTTCAAATGGGTCTGGTTCGGCGGTGGCGCGGTGGAAGGGTGCCGATTTGCAGATTGTGTTTTTTCAGTTGTTTTATGGGGCAAATTGAGCAGCGTCATTATGGATCCATGAGGAAAACAGAAGGACGAGAAGTGCGTCTGAGCCGGCGACGGCCCTGGCACCGTGGTCCCGGCTGGCATAAGGCGATGTGGTGTGCCAGGTGCTGATAAGGGGATCGCTTCGCACCGCAGATCAGACTCGGTCCGGGACGTTTGTCTGAGCAACAGCACGATAGATACCGGAGTCAATTCTGCTGTCACACCACTATTTGATTTTGTGTGTTGGTGAGTGCATGTAGAATGAGCGAGCCTGCATGTGTGTGTGTGTGTGTGATGCACATACACACACATGCATGCCTGGCCTTAACATTGACAGAGGGCAAGATTATAAAAAAAAAAAATGCCTGCTGCTGCACCTCCGCCGCCAGGCTGTAATGTTTGTTTTGGTGGAGGAGCTGCTCCTCCTCTGGGCTTTGGCTTCGTTATTGAAGTCCGCTTATCGTGGGAGATACAAGATAGGGTTCTCCTGAGGGAGCGGTGGAAGGAACGCCCGCCTGGTGCGTCTGTGGGACGAGCTCGCGAAGGGTCACGCGGATCAATACAGAGGTCGAGCAATCAATCAGCCCCAGAAGTCAATTTGGCAGGAAAACCCTTTCATGTGCGAGAGCTCGGAGAAACTCCCTGAGAGGCACGAACGCAACATGGTGTGGAGGAATCTGCCCACATGGGTCTAATGTAATCACAGTTTGGGGGGAAATGTGTCCACGCTGCAGGATCTAGTCCTTAAAGCGCCCCGATGATGGATGCAGAGTCTTTGTTACACGCCGACACAGAGCTGACAGACTCAGACCTGACATTTTGAAGCATCCAGGCGATTTTCTTAGCGTGTCCTTAATTTGAGAGCGAGCGAGAGCAGCGCTCCGCGTTTACAGTCGCTCCGTCTATTAAAGTCACCAAGACCCCGGGACCTGAAGGTGTCGTGCGGCCAGTGACGCGTGACGGGGTTAGCAAACACTGAATGTGGAGATGCACAGTGATCAATACCCATAGAATTTAAAACAGCTGAAGGACAAAGTGATAAACTAACGAACCCCTTTACAGTTTCAAGTCGTCGTGTCTGTATCTGGGTTCTGGAGACACTCTGAGTGAGTCCCGCTCACCTTCTGGAGGAAGAGGACGATTCTTTGGACCATGTCGGCTCTCTGCTCCTCCAGGCTGAAGAGGGTGCGCGGCGTGCGGATGAAGACCTTGGTTTTGCCGTAGGCCACGTCGTGGTCAAACCCGCACCCCTGCAGGAGCCTCTTCACGGCGTCTTTGTCCGATGGCAAGTCGTGGTTCGGCCACGTGAACTCTGAGATCATCTTGTATCTGGAGGACGGACAAAGCGCTCGATGTGAGAAAATACTGCAGTCGTGTAAAACATGAAATTAGCATTTTATTTCTTGATTTATTATAGTGCTTCTCTTCTCCTAACCCCTTTTTCAGGTCATATTATATCTGAAGAGGGTAAAAGCCTTGTGATGCTGTAAAGTGCTGAGTGGATCTCAAATACTAAGAAAGTGTGGGATCTCATTTAGCACATAGGATTTAATTATTGCACTGGTCTCTGGACAACAATAATGTATTTTCAAGTTCTGACAGTGCACTGAGCATTAATTCAATGTACCATGTCTTCATTTCTATCATTGTATGTGAAACAGTTGAAAACCTCAATTTATTATAAAGTGAAAACAGTGAAATCCTCAAACTGCTTGATCTTTTCTGAGGCAGCGGTGACGCTCTCCGGTTTCCACCATCCAAAGATCCATCACAGACAAGCGACTGACAGTGCTGTGATGTAAGTCCCGGTACGTCAGTGAGGGGGATTGGAGTCACAGAGTCGGATGAGTTGAGAGCACGTTATGTAAAGACGAGGAACTAATCCTGGTTTCTACGAGGGCAGTGGGCGAGTGTGACAGCGCGGGGGGGGGGGACGAGGACACAAGTGTTTGTATACATGTGGAGTGTAATGTGTGTAGATGTTTCTGTGTTAATGTTCGTATTCTTAAACTCAGGCTCAGATCTGGAGTTATCTGGTGACTGGGAGGGTTGTGAACAAAAGTATGATTAATTAGAGACTGGATGCTGAGGTCATTCATTCCTTTTCACTGCAGGTGATCATGTATTTTATTTCATTTATGTGATATGCACATAATATCTCATCGTTTTCTTTCTTCAGATTTTCCTTTTTACTCTGAACACCGCAGAACAGGAAGACAGTGAGTTGAGATGAGATAGAAGAGTTTGTTGGTGATGTAAACGAACAATCTTCAGTCATAAAGAAAAGTAACCAGCTGAGAAGCTCATGCTTTACGCTCCACCTCCTTAACGGTCAAAACCTACATGAAAACGAGAGATTTGAAATGAGACTCACAGCTGACAGAGATAGACAAGGCCAAGGAGGGAGAGATATCAGGGGACGAATGGAGAGAAGGGCAAACAGTTTGTAAGGCCTTTTGGGTCAGAGCGGACTGGAAGTGGGATGAGAGGCCATGAGCTGCAGGCTCTGACTTTCTGTTTGCTGTGGGTCAAGTAAAAAAGAAGAAAAAGGAAGGATAAAGGAAAAAGAGTTGTTGTCATATCAAAGTGCTTGATGGCAGTTACACAGGCTGTGCTCCCGTCCATCAGCTCCTTCTCCAGCCTCGCTCACTCCAGCGACAACATGAAAGTAAGTGACAAGTTGACTCTGTGTGTACGGGTCCCGCACAAGAACATCTGAGTTGATACTGTGCACTTGGTTAAAACAATGAATACAAATCAATATCAGAGAATATCACGAAGGGAATGTTAGCTCAGCCACGGATGTTCTGTTTATGTCTGTGTTAGTTTGTTTGTCGTTTCGTAGGATTTTAAACAGGACATTTGAGAGTGTGTGGGATTTGGTGTAGATGCAAATTAAAATCCAGATCTGTTGAATTTAAATGTTGTTTCATGAGTGGACAGTTGGGCCTTGTGTTGAAGGTGTGTGCTCTACTTGGCGACATTGTAGTTTTCTCTTGTGACGGCCATTTCACACATCATTTATTCAGCTGCAGTTAATAATTGCTTTTCTATTCTTAAACTGTTATGGTGAACTTGTGATATGAGCCGATAAAAGAGGAATTTGAAAACTTTTCCACCTTGTTATATGTATTCCTGTGTTTTAACATTAGAGAAAAGACTTTGTGTGTTCGAACTCTTGCATTGATTCTGTAGCACTGGACGTGTTTGTAGTTGTTGTTTGGGGGGGAATACACTTACAGCTTTGATTAAATCTAGCTCTTCTTCCTGTGGAGTTCGAATGCACTTGTAAGGCGCTTTGTACAAAAGTGAGCAGTGGTTCCTGCTGTGGTCAACACACTGGCTGGAAAGAAACTCCTTCCTAAAGTAGCGATGCTGTAGGTGATGATGATGTTGTAATGTGCAAAAATGAATCTGAATATGAGGCTTCAGCAATCTGAGATCAAGACAATATCTTAAAAACAGACAATGTTTCCTTTGTGGAGAAACTGTAGAGGAGTTACAAATTAGAAGCGTGGTACTAGAAATACTAATACCTATGGGGGAAGGATGTGCTCTCATCTGCTGGCAGCAGGAACAATCCCTTGCTGTGAATATATGTGAGTGTTGTTTTAAGATAGATTTGTAGAAATGTGAATCTGTGTTCTACTCCTCTCTGCAAACACCCAGGTGTGGAAGTCTGAGGGCGGCTCTCTCCCTCTGGATCCTCTTAGTAACAAACCCAGCATCTCCGAGCACCTGCAGGTCTCGAAGCAGATGACAGAGGAGCTCTTGGATGACGACAGCCGGGCATCTTGGGACATTGAGTTTCTGCTGTCTGACTGGAGCAACCCCTCTCCTGACTTCGACCCTTCTCTGGAGAACAGTGATCAGCGGCTGCCGCAGCTCGACCCACGCACTGCGTACCACGAGGTGGCTACGTTCAAGGAGCAACCAGGCCAGGAGTGTGTGCAGGTGAGCAGCGGCAGTTTCGTGGCAGAGCTCTTGTCCCCTGCTCAAACCACAATAGTCCATCCAGAGCTGTACCACCATTATAGTGAGGAGCAAACAGGTCGGACTCCAGCTCCCAGTCTAGCTAACGTAGATCAGTTTGGCTTCCTGCAAGACGGCAGAGGAAACCACAATAAGGCCTCATCATGGGACTATAACTCCTACTGTTCCCAGCAACACCCGTCCATGGTGACGTTCCCCGACAGCAGGTTCATCTCATCTCAAGCTGTGACCTCTGACCCCCGACACTACAGCTACATGCCCGGCTTCAGCCACAACGCCAACCTTTTCTGTGACTACACCCACACCCAAGCTGCCGGTCATCTGCCCCATCACCAGCAACCCCTGCTGGTGGGACCCCAGCTGCCCCCTGCTGGGGTGGAGGGGAAGCGTGGTCGGAGGGCCACAGGGAAAAAGAGGCCCGCCATCCACAGCTGTGAATACCCCGGCTGCAGCAAGACCTACACCAAGAGCTCACACCTCAAGGCTCACCTTCGCACACACACAGGTAAAACCATAAGAAAATGTGTTTGAGATGTGATTTCGTGCGTTTGTTTGATGGTTACCATTTGTTTTTGTTTGTTTATCGATCAGGGGAAAAGCCCTACCAATGTTCATGGGAGGGATGCAACTGGAAATTTGCCCGCTCGGATGAGCTGACGCGTCACTACCGCAAGCACACAGGCCAGAAACCCTACGAGTGTCTGCTGTGTCAGAGGGCCTTCTCCCGCTCCGACCACCTGGCTCTGCACATGAAGAGACACACTTGAAGCCCACACACACACACACACACACACACACACACACACACACACACACACACAGAAGTTTGATGTTGTAATTGATTTCTCGCCCACGTTTGGAAATGCAAATGTGACGAATTAAAGATTTAAGATATTCTTTTTTAAAAGAAACGATTGATCTCCAGTGACAAAGATTACCATGACATAACAACAATTTCATCAGACTCATAGGGGGTTTTGAAAAAAGTTTCAAAATTGACTTCTGAAAGGTTTACATTTCCAATAGTTCTAGCTGAATACCACCAGCTTAGTTGTAATCAGGTGTATAAGAGCATGGTCTTGTACATGCAAATGTTGCTGTGGGATTAAGAATAAGAATAAGAAGTCCTTTAATAGTCCCACAATGTTACAGCAGCAATAGACATCAAATAAGTAGCTTGCAGTACTTGGGTGAAGGAATATAAAGAAAAAATCTAGAAAAAATTAAATTGAACCCATATATACAGTGTAATATACCTTTGACTCCTAGTTACCGTCAATCTGTGAAAGCAAGGGGGCAAATAAAACATTTTCTTCCTGTAGTGACGCAAATCGCTGAACTTTGACCTGCAATATTCACTTCACATTCGCATATGCGTGACCGGGCCTTTATGCTGGGAGCAGATAATAGAGCTTTGAGCCTCTTTCAACAACATTTTTCACTGTTTTATTCCTCAAGATCTGTAACAAGCAAATTGGTCAACTTCCCCTTTAATGTGACAGCCCAGGTTTATCTATAATTAAGTCCAGTTCAAATTACTTGAAGTCAGATTTATTACTCAGAAATTGAATATAAAATAATCCTAGTGAGGTTTTCACTAGTGTGTTTCATCAAAATTGTGCAAACTGTTGTTTTCTTTACCCTAGAATGGACCATTTATATTTAAATACTTTATATTAACATCAGGAGCGGGTCCTCTTCACGGAGGCCGCCATGTTTTTTACAGTTGTCCAAATTGGACAAACTAAACACCTTTTGAGTTTAAATGACAACTGAAGGTTTCCACAGGTTCTCTATCATGAAAGATAGAAATTATAAATCTAATAATAACACCAACACGAAGGCTAAGTCCTCACCAGAGCCACATGGACAAACACTGCACACACTATGGGCACGTAGACACCAGCAGACTTAAACACTAACAACATATATATACCAAAATAATATACGTGACATAGGTTATCATAGTGTATCCAGTATGAATTCATGACTGACTTAAAATCATGACAGCTTGTCTGCATCACCTCTGCGATCATCATCTTTATCCGATTGTCCTCTACTACCACCACTATGGTAATAATGATTGTAAATGTAAGTACATGATTGTAAAGTCCATGTATGGTTGTGTATTTTTTGTCATCTAAGTTGTTTAAGTGTTTTGTCTGTTTAAGGGAACTTTTATTTAAAAAGAACAAGTGTGCTTTTATTTCTATCTCATTTTCAAATCTGTAAATAATATGCATCTTTCTCAGTTGTCTTTTATCATC